GACCCGGTTATTGCTCTCCTCATAAAAAAAAATCTTTGATATTTTTTCCCGGTAGTGTGACGTGTCCATTATTAATTGGCTACATATTCGTTTCTTTCTCTGTGTCAGAATAAAAAGGGGAAAACTATTTGACAGGAAAAAAAAACAATAAAAAGGAAAAGGCCGTAGCGACAAAGGAAAAAAAGGAAAACTCATAAATTTTGATTTTATTTAACGTTTGATTTTTTTTTTCTATTAAATTCACAAAGAAATAAAGTTTACTAATTCTATATTTTCCTAAGATCAACGTTCAAATATCATTATAACCGTGAGTTAGTAATTAAGCAGTGGTTACTAGTGTGGCTAGTAACTTAGTAATAATAAACAAACTCCTAAAAACTAGCATCATCACATATTATTCTAACAAAGTATTTTTAACTTTGCTTTTGTTTTTGTTTATTTCCTTCCTCAGACGCTAAACTAGTGGAACAATTTCCATTCACATTTGCCAAGTCAATTCCAAATAAAATAAACTAATCTTAATTTACAAATTTAGGTTTTCTTCTAAAAATTAACCGTGTTATTTGGCAATTCATTGCGACAATGTAATGTTAAAAGAAAAACAATACAGTTTTTAGACATTCTGGGTCAAAGCCGATGCTGTAATGAAAGTATTATTTTTCCATAAATCTACTAATTGGATATCTAAAAATAGCCATACATGTGTTCTATTCCACTCTCACATCTAACAATAAGAATCAGTAGTTCTCACTGTTAATTTCTTTTCAAAGATTTAAATCTCAATTAAAACCAAAAAAATAATAAATCAGAAGAAGAGTGCATAACAAAAGTTACAAAACTAAACTCCATTAGAGTGTGATGAGGATTTATCAACCGACCTTATTATCGTTCGCCACATTCGTCTCACTCTACATCTCCGCCGTCTCCGCCGCCGGTTCCGGTGGTTCCCGACAACTTCTGTACTCTCGAGACAATCCTATAACCGTACCTCCGTACTTAATATTCGAAAACGTACGGCTCGAGAGAGCTTACGTGGCGTTACAAGCGTGGAAGCAGGCCATGATCTCTGACCCGTGGAATTTTACGTCGAACTGGTTCGGATCACGTGTGTGCGACTATAACGGAGTAGTATGCTCCTCATCCATCGACGACCCTTTGATCAAAACTGTCTCCGGCGTCGATCTAAACCACGGCGATATCGCCGGTCACCTCCCTGAAGAGCTTGGTCTCCTAACCGACATTGCTCTGTTTCACGTCAACTCGAACCGGTTTTGTGGGACTCTCCCACTCGGGTTTTCGCAGTTGACTCTCCTTTACGAGCTCGATCTCAGCAATAACCGGTTCGCCGGTAAATTCCCAGTGGTTGTAATCGGTTTACCGAGTCTAAAGTATCTCGATCTCCGGTACAACGAGTTTGAAGGTGGATTACCAGAGTCTCTGTTTGACAAAGATCTGGACGCTTTATTACTGAACAGTAACCGGTTCACTAGTAAAATCCCGGTTAACATGGGGAATTCTCCGGTATCGGTTCTGGTTCTTGCATCGAACCGGTTTGAGGGATGTATACCGACGAGTTTCGGCAAGATGGGCAAGACTCTGAACGAGATCATCCTAATGGATAACGGTCTACAGTCGTGTATACCCAATGACATGGGGTTGCTTAAAAACATCACCGTTTTGGATGTTAGTTATAACTGGCTAGTTGGAGAGTTACCGGAGTCGATGGGTCAGATGGAGAATCTTGAGGTGTTAAACGTAGAGCGTAACATGCTTTCCGGTGTAATACCGGAAGAGATATGTTCGCTTAATAATCTTAGAGAGTTCAAATTTGGCTCTAATTATTTCACTGGAGAACCATTGATGTGTCGTAGTTATAACAATACGATGAATTGTCTTAGAGATGAGAGAGAGCAAAGATCGACTATGGAGTGTAAGGTGTTTTTGTCGAAACCTGTAGATTGCAATTCTTTCAAATGCAATCCCGTCACTCCATG